TATTTCAGTAAATGGCCAGAAGTTTTTGCCATTCCAAACCAAGAAGCATCGACTGTAGCTGAAGTATGGTCAATAATGTCTTCAGTAGATTTGGAATTCCCTTAGAGCTTCACACTGACCAAGGAAGGAACTTCGAGTCAAGACTGTTCCAGAAGATGTGTGATCTGCTTGGTATTCACAAGACTAGGACAACAGCTTTACATCCGCAGTCTGATGGGATGGTCGAAAGATTCAATAAGACCATTGAAGAACACCTCTCGAAAATGGTGGCCGAACATCAAAGAGATTGGGATCAACACATACCGCTGTTCCTAATGGCGTATAGAAGTGCAGTTCACAACACCACCGGACTTTCACCATCGAAGATTTTATTTGGTCGAGAATTACGGTTGCCTTGTGACTTGGTGTTCGGATCACCAGACGACGGCACCACAAATGTAGAGGACTACGCGGATGAACTGAAGGAAAGGTTAATGGAAATTCATAAGGCCGTAAGAAGTAAGATTACGCTAGCCAGTGACCGGATGAAAGCTCGTTACGACCTCAGAGCCAATTCTACGGGATTTCAACAGGACGATATGGTATGGTTATATAACCCACAGCGCAAGAAAGGGAGGTCCCCAAAGTTAACTCCAGCATGGGAAGGTCCTTATACAGTCATCAAGAGGATAAATGATGTTGTGTACCGGATTCAACGCAGCCCTAGAAGTAAGATGAAAGTAGTTCATCTGGATCGATTGAAGGATATCAGACAGGAAACCCTTGATCAGGACGATCAAATTTGAGAAGGGGGGCAATGTCAAGAAAAATGGCGCATCCGCCAGAAATTAAAAATGTATTACTGGTTGCCTGCACAACCGCAACGTATCCGCCAGAAATTAAAAGACTTTTTTCAGGCGCCATCTTTTAGTCAAGTCGAGAAGTAAGGGAATCAGACAATAGAATTGTCTGGTATGAAGAAGTACGCTTTCCGAGAATTGGGGAAATTTCGAGAAGCAGTCAATAGAGTATATAAGCCGGAGCCATCGACAACTGAGACAGTTTTTGAAATTTGAATATACCGCGTGGAAATTGAAAATCGGACAATTTGGTGAAGGAATCTTATAAATAGTTAGTTTGTTGTGTGTTATAAGTTAGTAATTGTGTATAAAGTGAGAAAATAAATTCGTTAAGTATTTTATCGTGAGTTTAAATAGTGGACCCACGGAATCCGTAACAATATATATATATATATATATATATATATATATATATATATATATATATATATATATATATATATATATATATATATATATATATATATATATATATATAAATTGAAGAATTGAAATGTTAAACGAAAATTTTGTAATTTCCAGACTTGATATAATCTCATTTTATACATCTATAAATGCTAACTTGAGAACTAATGTCAAATATTATTAACAATCACAGTTTCGGCAAAATGGCATCGTTAAATGAAACTGAACATATCGAAATTAATTAAATCAAATTGTTTAAGTTGTATTTTCAAAAGTCAATAACTCGGAAACGAAACGGTTGATTTGAGGTACATTGTGTGTATTTCGATTTTTGCTTAGAATTGAAGGAAGAATTGAAATATGCAATAATATGCAGGGCTATTTAAAAAAATGAAACTTTGATGTGCCACGGACTTTATGACTGACTCTGTATACTTAAATTTATTACTCGCTAATAGAAATTTAAAAATCCTATAACTTTTGTATTTAACTTTTTGCAGTATTAGTTATATTTTTATATATTTTACCTAATAATCGACCGTTTCCATACATAACAGCGACCCTGTATAGTATACAGTCTGTTCCTGGCTGAGCTTGAATTAAAAGTTTCTATAAAATTAAACTACATATCTATTTCATTTTGTACAAAGTAAAATTCCAAAAATACTGATTTTATAAAGATTGGACATATATGGACTGAACCTTTTTATCTTTTTATTCAAATGACAGAAAGAAATAAATTGTGTGACTTTAGTTGATATTTAGTGTCACAAGTAACAAGAAAAAATAACTAAATAAGATAGACTAACTAGATATAAAAAATAACGTAAAAAAAAACTTTATCAAATTTTAGTTTTCTAAAAACCTCTAAGGCAAACTCAGCCAGGCACACCCTGATTATCTTATACTGTATGATAAAAAAAACGACGTCGAAGACGGCTGGGGAACGACGTAATCAGTGACAATTTTGGCTAGGTCAGTCTCTAGACCTCGTTTACTAAAAATTGACGTAAAATTTGTCAAAATTAACACTAATTATGGGAAGATTAAAAAATTGGTTTGGTTTAGTTTGGTTTGGCGCACCGAAGGTTCCGTACCATTCATTAGACACTATATTATTATAAACTTTTTTTCCGTTTTAGCTGAAATTTTGAATGTGCGTATAAGTAATTTAAAAAAAAATAAGAAACACATTACTAAAAATTGTATTAAGCAATAATAAATATGTAAAAAGTAAAAATAAATATGTAAAAATATGTAAAAACTAAAAAAAAACGATTAAAAAAAGTCGCCTTGGCTAGGATTCGAACCTGCCTTACTACGGCTCCAACGTCTTAGCAGCGTGAAGTCCTAACGCTTTAACCACGCGGCCACCGAGGACTTGAAAGATTCTATGTAAAATTCTTACTTAAAAGATAATGTTTAGTGAAAGTACTTTTTTATTTATAAACATTTATTTAATTCTGTTTTTAGTATTTGTTCTTATAGCGGCAACATAGATACATTATCTGTAAAAATTTCAGCTGTCTAGCTATAACGGTTCATAAGATAGACCTTTGTGACAGACGGACGGACAACGAAGTCTTAGTAATAGCACAGAATATCTAGCTACGCAACAGAAAAATACTCGAAATGAAAGAGTTAAAATTGCACAAATAGAATACTAGATGGCGCGACAATATCATAATCAGAATATAATTAGAAATTTTGAACTTTCGGTTTTGGATCGACGGCTCGTCGACGGCCTTCTATGTAAAATTCTTACTTAAAAGATAATGTTTAGTGAAAGTACTTTTTTATTTATAAACATTTATTTAATTCTGTTTTTAGTATTTGTTCTTATAGCGGCAACATAGATACATTATCTGTAAAAATTTCAGCTGTCTAGCTATAACGGTTCATATAGCTCGGCTAAATATGCACAGTTGCCAGATTCAAAAAGACTTGAATTGGCATCCCATTCTTTTTATTGTGTATAATGCAGTATGTGTTTCTTTCTATTCTTCTTTTCTTGTCAGATACACTTATATTAATTATTCCTTTGGCTATTAAAATAGTTTTAAGTATATTATTACAAAACATATACATTTTTAATATACACTATACCTTATAATGTTAACTAAGAAAATACCTTTAATTACTTTTAAAATTAATAATATACAGGGCGATTGATAGTGATATTTATTAATGCTGGAACGTTAGTAATGAAATATAAGTTTAATAATAATGGAAATAATTTATTAAAATGCAGTACAAAAAATGTTAACTGACTAAAAAAAATACGCAAGTATATATCAAATATGAGCTCAATCGAACGCCAGGAAATGGTATTGAAATATGGTACTATATTAAGGTACCACTTTATATGCATCATAGTACCATCATATTACAATGTAACCGAAGATACGTAGTATAACAAGTTTAAGTCCAATCGAACGCCAGGAAATGGTATCGTAATATGGTACTATATTATGGTACCTCTTATTATGCTCCATGGTACTATAATATTACGTGAATAACATAGTGACATATCACCGAAGATACGTAGTATCCCAAATTTAAGCCCAATCGAACGCCATGTACATAATATGGTACTATATTATGGTACCAGATGATATGCATCATAGTATCATTCTATTACAATGTCACCGAAAATCCGTAGTATACCAAGTTTAAGCCCTATTGCCGCCATGTACCTAATATTGCTGTCATCAAATATGGTACTATAGAAGGTACCACTTTATATGCTCCATGGTACCATGATATTACAATGTCACTGAAGATATAGTATACCAAGTTTAAGCCCAATCGAACGCCATGTATCGTAATATAGTACTATATTATGGTATCACTTGATATGCTTCTGAAAAAAACGGCGTCCAGTTGGCTGGAAAAGGACGATCGATGACATTTCCCATATAAATTTACATATAAAATGACAGTGATATTAATTTCATAGCTATCGCTAACGCCGTTTTTTCCCGATTATACAATATGAACTTGGTATGAACACAATCGAACGTCAGGAAGTGGTATCATAATACTAGAACAATACTTATTATATTGTCGCCGAATTACAATGAAAATTCAGGATTCAATTATACAATCAAACGTCAGGAAGTGATTGTAATTTAGCTCATAAGATTTAATTCCAACTAACATGGCAAACTGAAAAAAACAGCTCCGATCTATTTTAATATGTTTAAATGATGTAGCAAATTTGAAGGTAGGCTTTATCAGGAAGTATTACGATATGAATTACACATTGGCAACACTGCACAAAATTCTTTTAAATTTTGTTTGTAGAAAACTGTTTTCTTTTAAATTTATTGCCCTCTATTATGTAGTAGCGAAACTAGCACATCAAAATATCTGATTTGGAGACAGACTTTTAAAGCCTGTCTCCTTTTGCTGCCTACAATTTTATACATGTAACGAGGCTTCTGTCGCGTAGCTAGATATTCTGTGGTAATAGGGTTCCCGTTTTTACCCTTTGGGTACGGAACCCTAAAAATAATTTACAGAACGTTTCCAGTTTCCAGACACACAAATACACTTTTACTCGATATAACAATAAATTACAATCCTCTTACGGCCAACTTGTAGTAAGCGCCATTAAAAAATCCGTAGTAATGACGTCTAGGGCTTGACCTCGCCAAAATTACTATCGACTGTCATTCTCCAGCCGTCTATGACACCGTTTTTTTTCGATCGTATGTTATTTAATCCAAGAAAATTAAATTGCATATAGAGTACCTGTATTTTTATTTCGTGAGCACTGTTGTAAATCAGAAAAAGCTGAATACTTAATGTAACGAAAAACAAGAATATTGGAATTCTGTTGACTAGTGGTATCTATTAAAAAAAAGAACGGATTAGATATATGTATAGAACGTTCAGCCATCATTCAACGTCACGTCATATATTACCTATATATAATTATTTTAAGCATCTTAAACTTCTAGGGTATCAAAGTGTATAAATGTAAAAAAAAAATAAAAAATGTCATATCTATGTGGCGTATTCATCTCTCCAAAAAAATCCTTTATGGGTATTTCGCCACTGCACTGCAAAAAAAAGAAAAAGAAGAAAAAAAAACGTTTCGGAAAGAGACAAACTTTTTATTCAAAGTGGGCGAATTTTTAACTCTATATCTTGAAGAGGAATCGAGCAAAATATCAAGTATGCTATATTTTTGGAAATGTAATTTTAATTTTTTTTCAATGAATTAAAAATATACAGGGTCCCATAAAAAATCAAATTTTTTGTTGATAATTCTTAAATTATTAATTTTACAAAAGTATATACTTAAACGATTAAATTCTAACAACTACGCACTACTAGAAAGGTGCTTTGAAAATGTTTACATAAAAATACAAAATTTTCCATAGCAAAAAAGTTACAGCGATTTGTTAAAAATGCTTATTTTTGAAAAACACCCCGTAACTCCGAAACGCTGAGAATATCGTAATATCGATGTGCGGTTTTCACCATCGTGTTTTTGATAAAAATTGAGCTCCAGACATCGATATTAGTTTTGTGTGTTTTCCTTTAAAAGCATCCAATTTGACCCACCCTGTACAATTTAACTAGGGGAAACTGATATATGCGCCTAAAATTATAAATTTAAAAACATACAAAATGAATAAATACCACTTAATTAATAATTTCAGAACGTACTTTAAATTTTCTAAACAATATGAATTGATCACACAGACACACCCTAAAACGCATATTTGATAAATAATTATAACGTAACGTTGAATGATGACCAAACGTTCTTTACTTATGCATTATTTCTTATGCTTTATGTACTTACTAGGAAAATTTCATAGATGACCAATGAAAGTTGAAATGACGATATAAGGAAATTCATAAGCATAAACATTTTCACGGAATCATTTAATTTATGTACAAAACTAAAATATTTTTGTTTATTATTGTTATTGATAAAACAGAGATTATATTATTTTGACTCTAGTTTGAATATATTAAGTTGAAAATTTACCTAATACAATTCATATGATCCATAATCAACTTTTTTACCAAAACCGTTTCAGATTGTTCCTTGGTTAATGAGAATTGTACTTTCATTTTTTCCGCGTATGATTGAAAGTTTTCTAAGAGATATTGTAGGATCTTCAATTGACAAGTTACGAAAGTGAGGACTGTGAGAAAGAATGCTCCGCAGTATATTATATACGCATATCCATAACTGAAAGTAGTGTAAAAGATAGATGCTAAACCGTTTTTCTTGAAAGGGTATAGCCGGATTAATATGGGAAATCTGTCCCCGCGGCTTTTTTAACTCGCACTCAGGGGATCGATTTGGTGTCGAATCAAAACAATTCACCTAAATTTTTAGCTCTTTAACACAAACGGTTTTCGAGATTTAAAAAAACTGTTTTTTCAATTTTATTGTTATAATAAAATTCAAAATTAATTAATGATGATTTTTTTTCTAATTCTTAGAAGTCTAAGACATGAAAAAATAATACGATCATGATTCTTAAGCGAAAAGCCGATCTTTAGCGGAGGAAAGACAATTAAAATCTTAATTTTTTTAACCTTCGTGAAATATGTCACTCCCTATAAATCGTCAGAAAATGTCTTTTATACTTCTTTATACTCAGGAATTTTTTAGATTTTTTTGTGGAAGTGGTGGAACAATATGGAAAAAATTAAAAACTCATTTTTTTTCTAATTTTTTTTAATGAACAGTGCTTTCCATAAAATCAATAAAATGAAAAATATACGAAATAATATACATGTACTGATTTTTTTCGAAAATCGACAACTATGAAACTATGATCCCTTCCCGGACACAAACGGTACATTGTGAGACAGGAAATTGTAGAGAGAAACAAGCCCTATAATCAGGGTTGGAAAAAATAATGATTTAAAAAAAAAATGAGATTTGTTTGATTTAAATCAGATTTTTTTTATTTAAATCAGATTTTTTTGATTTTAATTCAAAACAATATTTAAATCGGATTTCCAAATGACTAGGACTTATTTCCAATTAAAGTCCTATCCTAAATGGCTAAATCTTTATAACTCTGCCCGTTATCGATAACATTAATAATTCTAGGGTGCGTTTGTCATTTTTTCACATCGGTCACCAATATATTTCGCAAAAAAATCGCTCGCTTCAGATCAAAAGGATTTCTTTTTTCAAACGTCTCAAAAGTATTAATTTTTGTCATTTTAACGCCTAGGTATAAAAGTAAAGTACTGTTGCGCCTAAGCACAAAAGTACAAAAATATATTATTAAACTGATATTAAGTGTCAAATTCAACGAGTGTACAAATTGTTGCTCGATTACTGTTTAGGGGAGAATGCCCAACAATACATACATACAGCCGTTACTCGCTGACGAGTATTCGACACACATAAAGAAAATGGTCACGCAAGGCGTTTTCTTTCATGAGCTTTTCTGTGACTGAAAAGCCCGATACGTGATGTTATCTGCCTACCGCACTCCGGACATTCAAAAATCTCATTGCTTTGTTGCCTCTCTACTTTTTGGTTGCCGCTGTTAACTGAGTTTACAACCCTTCTCCATTGAGTTCTATTGTGAGCTGCTTTTTCCCACTCATTCTGCATGTTAATTCCCTTTAAATTTTCGTGGAAAATGTCCTTGTATCTTTTCAGTTGTCCACCCGGCCTCCTCTTACCGTCCACAAGCTCACCGTAAAGCAGAGATTTTGGTATGCGGTTTTCTTGCATTCTGCATACGTGACCAGCCCATCTTAAGCGGGATTTTGTGACCATGACTTCAATACTCTCGCAGTTAGATTTTTCAAGGACCGATACGTTTGAGACATGATGGAACCACCGGACTCTTAAGAGTTGTCTAAGGTGTCTCTGTTGCAACTTGTTCAATGCGTTCATGTGTCGGCGGTAAGGCACCCAGGTTTCGCTCCCATATATCATGGTGGGGATTATAATTGCTCGGTATACTGCAAGTTTTGTTTTTGTACTCAAGTCATGATTGTAGAAAACCCTGTCTTTTAATTTCCAGAATGCCCTTGAGGCGCTACTAATCCTGTGCTGAATTTCAGAGTCAATATTGGCCTTTTCCGAAATCAAACTGCCAAGGTAATTGAATTCCGCCACATATTCCAATAGTTCTTCTCCGATTTTTATAGCATTGTTGTGATCTTCCGGGTGAGTGCACATGATTTTAGTTTTGTCGATGTTTAGCTTAAGGCTCAAAGCCTCGTATGCCCAGGTATATGTGTTCAACATTTCTTGTAATTGTTGTACCGTGTTTGCAACTAGAGTGCAGTCGTCAGCGTATTGAAGTTCTGTGATAAATTTTGTACGTGTTTTTGCCCTGAGTCTTTTTATGTTGAACAGACCGCCGTCATATCAGTATCTAATGCCCAATCCTCTCTCCTGCAGTTTGCTGTCCACTATAATGGAGAGCGCTGCCATGAATATGTTGAATAGGAGAGGCGCTAAGACACATCCCTGCCTAACTCCTGTATTTGTTAGGAATGGGTCTCTCAGTGATCCATGATGTGACACTCTTGACTTGTTGTTTTGGAGGCTTTTACACACTGTAAGAAATTTGTTGGGTACTCCGAACTTTTCCATAATTGCCCAAAGCGCATCTCTGTTCACAGAGTCGAAGGCTTTTGTTAGATCGATGAATGCAACATAAAGTTTAGACTCCTGCTCTTTTACTTTTTCCTGTAGTTGACGGATGGAAAATATGGAATCGACGGTGCCGCGGTTGGTACGAAAACCCCTTTGCGATTCTGGAAGGATTTTTTCTATATATGGGTGCAGGCGGTTTGACATTATTTTTGCAAGAATTTTTCCGCCGATAGCCAATAGCGAAATTCCCCGGTAATTTCCGCAGTCTGATGCACTTCCTTTGTTCTTAATATATTCACTATATTCGCGTTGCGAAAATCGTGAGGTACCTCTCCGCTTTCCCATACGACATCAAAGAGAGCCTTAAGATGATCCATAATTTCTTTACTTGCACACTTATAGATTTCCGCCGGAATCGCGTCACAGCCAGCTGATTTGTTGCTGTTTTATGGAGGTCTTTATTTCTTGTTCTGTTATTGGGATGTCTAATACATCGAGGCTGTTATACTGAGGTATTGTGTTTAGTGCTTCCATATTGGGGTTGTTTTCTTGGTTAAGGATATGGCTGTAATGTTCTTTCCAGTGATTTCTGATTTGTTCTTCCTCTTTTAGAAGTTCGCCATTTTGAGCCATGATTGGGCAGCTTACCTTCTTAGTTGGACCGTATACTTCTTTTACAGCCTCGAAGAATTTACGATAATCGTGATGAGTGGCGTACTCTTGAATCTGATTCGCTTTTTGTGACCACCAGTTATCCTTTACTTGGCGCAGTTCTCTTCGAAGGGTGTTGTTGGCTGCTTTAAAGTTATCTACCAGTCTTGGATTAAGTGGATTTGCAGTGACGGCTTGATGTGCTCTATGCTTTTGTTCCAAAAAAGCCTGTATATGCTGTTGATTTTCGTCAAACCAGTCTGGTTGTTTCTTTTTGTTCGACTTTCCCAGTACTGCTTCGCTGGTTTTATGAATCGCATCCCTTAATTGTGTCCAGTCTTGTTCAGCTTCCAATATTGAGATTGAAGTTATCGGTGGAAGTGATTCTTTGATGGCTTCCCGGAGGGCGTCGGCGGTATTCTTGTTCTCTAGATCCCGTACGTTCAATCTGGTCATGTTGTTTTGCTTTTTACAGCGTGGATGTTTGGGTTTTAACTGGATTTTCATTTTTGAAATTAAAAGTCGGTGGTCAGTGCCGCATTCGGCATCTATTCTAGCTTTTGTGAGCCTAACATCTTTTAGATGCATCCTTCGAACGATTATGTGGTCCAATTGATGCCAGTGGCCTGATCTAGGATGTTTCCAGGTATCTTTAAACTTGTTCATCAACATGAACCACGTATTGGTGATGCAAAGATTATACTCTGCGCATGTTGTTAATAAGCGTTCACCATTGCTATTTGCGTTTTCCATTGTTTTCCCAATACGTCAGGCCATATTTCCTGTTGTTTGCCTACACGGGCATTAAAGTCACCTAGCAAGATGATTCGTTCGTGCTTTGGAATTCGTTGAAAGGCATTTTGTAATGCTTGGTAAAATTTATCCTTATCTTCAATTTTAGCGTCAAGGGTGGGAGCGTAGGCACTAATGTTGTTGACGTAAGTTTTGTCTGATATGGGGTACCTTAGGGTCATAAGACGTTCGGAGACACCAATAGGTACTTCTGTTAACTTGGTGGCGATTTCGTTTTTGATCGCAATGCCTACACCATGAATTCTCCTGTGTGTTGCGGGGTGACCTTTCCAAAAGAAGGTGTAATGCTCCTCAGTGAGACTACCTTATCTGCAAAGCGTGTTTCGCTTAGAGCGGCAACATCTATATTTAATCGGTGGAGTTCCTGTGAGACCAGTGCTGTTCTTCTCTGGTCGATTTGAATTTATCTTGTCCAGTAGAGTGCGGACGTTCCACGCCGCGAACGTGAAACATTGATGTTTTTGTTTCTCCGATGATACGCTCGAGTAGGCACCCCTCCCGGAGATCCGATTGAGGGGTATTTTACCTCCGGACGATAATTTTGTCCCACTCGAATGTTCCATCATTGCTGTGTGTAAGCTGCGTGAAAGGTTTAACTGTGGCGGTTACGCTGCCGCACAGTTTTGGCTGCAACTGTAGCACGGGATGGCTATGGCACAGTGAGGACTGCGACGATAGTTCCCTTGTGCTACGTTCTCGGCCGGCTAGGTGTATTTTATTACTCCTTTTCCCCAGAAGATGGTAGGTCTGAGGGTTGTATAAGGTTATACCGCCTATACTCGGACGTCAGAGCCTCGTTTGTGTAAACAGGGTGCACCACGTGAAGGTGAGGTTGACTTTTGGGTAAGCTAGGCTATATGTATCGCTTCAATACCCCTTGCACCCCCTCATGCCCAACAATGAGACAGGTCCAACAGTGAGACATTTAATCCCCTTCATCTAAAACGCGTCGAATCCAATTCCCGTTTCGAGAGTAAAACACTACCTATATACCAACTATTTTGTATCAAATATGGAACCTGCAGTGTTGGGAGATATACAGGGTGGCCCAGCGAAAACGTTCCGCAAGGCATAACGGCCAGGGTTTTTTTTTTTTCAAAAAATCCAAAAACACGTCAATTTTGTTTGTGAGGGGGACAACTTTT